TGACCTTTTAGCTAGTTATAAGCCAAGAACAGGGTTGAGACATTAGTTCACTATGGGAAACTGACATCATTACAGGATAGACCATGGCCCATGCCCAGCCTATGTGACAGTAGTAACATTGCTCATGTTTGTGAGTAGCATCTGTCACATTATCTTAGGAATCACATACTCAGACATGTCAAGGGGAAGGATGTCTTACTCATCTGGGGTGTGTGCAGTCTTCATGACTGAGTCCTGTCCTCTCAGGCCAAACTGGTATATAATATGATGTTACACCTTGATTATAGCAGGTGGTTGCTTTGTTCTCTTTAAAATGTTACCAGGGCCAAGAATGTGGCTTAGTGGTAGAGTGCTTGTCTAGCATGCATGAAGCCCTGGGTTCGATTCCTCAGTACTACATACACAGAAAAAGCCAGAAGTGGCTCTGTGGCTCAAGTGGTAGAGTCCTAGCCTTGAGCAAAAAAGAAGCTCAGGGACAGTGCCCGGGCCCTGAGTTCAAGGGCCAGAAATGGCAAAAAAAAGAAAAAGTAACTAGTGGGCATATTTTCCTAAGTGTCTTATATGAAATTCTGTAAGAAAAAGAATGAGGAAAAACTTGTTTTAGTTTTTTTCCCCCTTTACCTTGTTATGATGAACATACACAGATAATCACTAATTATCATCATTGACAACAAAATTCAGGTCTGTTCCTTTTGGAAAACTATTATAATGAAGTATTTTTGAAATGCTTGTTTGAACTCCTTGCACTAAGAAATAATTTCATTTAAGGGACCATGAACAGCTTTTTGCAGCTTTAAAATATTTTAATATTATATAACAGGAAACATTGCTAGTTTTAAATATAACTACCAACCTTCTTTTGATTCATTTAACATGTATTCGTTAGTTGACAGAATAACAAAACTGTAAATGTAAGTAAAATGACTCTTTGTTTCTGAAGATTGCTACATGAACTTACATAAATCCTTGTGAATAAAATTACACTTGCAGTTATGCTTAAGCTCTTCAAATCCCTATATCCTTCAGAAGAAAGTTGACCCAAATGCTTAAATAAGGGCTTTTCTTACAGACATGAGTATTTCTAATGCTCCTGGAGTATCATTTTTCTTCTGCCTATAAAACAATACTCACTTAAGCCTGCTCCTGGCACTGTGTCCTTTACTATGCATTTATTAGTGTGTGAATTTGTTTTGGATGTTAGCAAATCTAAGCTCTAGAATAAACTGAAATAGTTGATATAAGTAGAGTTTCATTGGATTTGTGTAAGTTTATATGCTAGACAGGTGCCCTACCACTGAACTACATCTCCAACTCCCATTTTTCAATATCTAAACAGATCTGCTTCTTCATTTATGGTTGTTGATCCTAACATTTTTGTTGTGGTCCCCAGTGCATAAAGAGTTAAACACCAAATCCTTATTAAATTCATTCCAGTCAAATGCTTTTCAAATTCTTGTGCTGTAGTTAGTTTTGATTTACTTTATCTGCTTATCTGCAAACAGAAATGACGTAGCTATTACTGCTCTGACTAAATGAAACATGATTTTCATTGAAAGTACCTAGATCATATCAGTGAGAACAAATTCCAGTGGCCTCAGTGTATTTGGCCTGTTTATTTGCAATAAATTTGGTCTGTTTATTTGCAATAAATTATAATTATTATTATATGCTCCTATAGACTATTTGACCAATGACATGTTATAGTTATGTTTATTTTTGGAATTAACATCAACCTCCTTCAACCTCTTTTTACATATCTCCATGAACTGCCAACTCCAGCCCACCACTCTGAGCCCTTAGCCCCTTCTCAGTTGACTGCTCTCCAGTCTTGAAGATGGAATGTCCTCTTCTCTTGGCATTTTTACCTTACCCTGTCCTTGCTTCTCTCCTGTTGCCTGCTGTTCTAAGTTTCTTTACTCCTAGAGCGTTGGGACATTCGCAGGACCTGTATTTTTTTTCCTTCCATTCTTTGTTTCTGTCTCCAGATTCAAGGCCTCCAGTCTTACTCAACATGTAAAAAGCAAGACTCATCTCCCCAAGCCTGTCCCTTCTCTGTTCCTCATGTGAGCTTGTGGCACAACTGTCCATATAGAAGCCTGAGGCAGAGCTTTAGGAGCTCTGCATGCAGTCTTCAGTACCCTTGGCGTCCTTGTCCAGATCATCTTCACAAGCCTATGGATTCTGTCTGCCAAACCTGTTCAGCGTCTCAGTCTTCAGTACTTGGTTCTTAGTTCAAGCTCCCAGTGCACCTGATCTCCATTACTATCAGTGATTCTGTCTAACCTCCTGGTTCTCCCCAGATAGAGACATTCCTGTGCCCGTCTCACATATCTGAATCCCGAACTCTGGAATCTAGAGATATCTAGCAAAATGTGTGGAAATCCGACCAACTAAAGGACTTGATTACCCTTTGCAAAACTAATAAGGGTAGCTGCATTCAAGACAGAGTTTTAAAGAACAGAAAATTCAGGATTTCATCCCATTTTACCTGTGGTTTTCAAACAAAGTCCCCTTGATCTAGTCTGATAATTGGAACTGAACGTATCAAAAAAAAACAAACAGGAAGATTCCATTATTTTTTAGCTTCTTAGTATACTGGAATAACATAATTTTAACCAGCATTAGATTTTTTAAAAAACTATTTGCAATTTATTGTTCAAACTGAATTTAGTAGGGTGTCACTTACCTTCAATATTCCCAGATTACTGTTCTGCCCACAACATCAAGGACTGCTTTAAACTCTGATTATCTCATTTATACTCATGTTACACACAGCTACTCAGAGCTTTTGAAAGGCAGACTATGCTTACCTGTCCATTGATAACCCTTCAGTTAAGTCATGCCTGAATAATAAGCCCATCACAACAAGGAGAGATTAGTTTTGGTATTTGAATGGAGCACGTCTTTTTAAGATTCTAATGAAAGTACTAGAAAGATTGGTGGTTGGAATAACTGCAGTCTCCACTGTGACTAGTATATAATGTGTTCTTAGCTGCTCCTAACTGGGAAAACAAGGGGATGGTCAAGTGCTCTGTTTTGCATTTACTCTGTTTGTTCCATTTACTGCTGAGTTGCCATAAATTCATATGACTTCACACATCTTTTTTTGCCTTTGATACATAATGAAAGACCACATTACTCACTTGAGAGATGATGGAGGCATGGCATATAGAAACACCAGTTATTTTAACAAGCCTCAAAGGACTGAACAAGCCCTTCCATTTTTTTGTTTATAGAGTTAGGTTCATAATTGGGAAGATTCAGTTGACTCCTGATAAAATAATTCTACTTACTTGTTCAGAAAAGTAGGAATTCCTTAACTGCATAAATTGACTATTTTGGTTTGGAAAAATTATTCTTCAACACGCAGAAATAACTATCCCCTGAGATTATTAAAATTAATGTTTATAATCTTATAAGCATATTTCCCTTGAGAGAAAGTGGCAGGTTTTACTAGGATGTTATGTGAATAATCAACAGAGGAGTGACTGAAATTTAGACTTCCAGCCCTTCCTTTTTCTCTGTCTTGTCTTTTTCTATCAATTAACAATTTTTAGGCCTATATGTGGTGTATAAAATTACTTGCTAGTAGTTGGATTGAGCTTCAGCATGAGCATATAAATACTTAATACAGATACATGCTTGACATTTGTTGATATTCTGACTTAAATATTGCTTACACCTTACACTTTAGGAGTTATTTTTTTCAAAGAATATAAGCTATCTGTAAAAATAACTATGATAAAATACCTTGAAAGGATATATCCTAATCTTCATGGAAGAAAGATTATCTCCGAAGTGAGCTTGATATTTAATAATAAAGATAAAAATCTTTTTAGTTGTTTGGTCTTTTGGAATTAGGCCATGGACACAAAATACAAACATAATTTTTTTTAATGTGAAAATACCGTACAGAGGGGTTACAATTACATGGGCAAGGTAATGAGTACATTTCTTATCAAGCATTGTTGCCTCCTCCTTTGTTTCTCCTTCCCAAACATAATTTTAAGTCTGCTAAAACCACTCTCTACTACATACATTGATCTTTGATCTGAATTAGAAAAGGAGATGGACCTTAGACAGTGGGATTATGGGTATTGGGTCTTTGGGTGAATTTCACTTGTATAGAGAAATATAAAAAAAATATTGTAGTCCATTAAATTAAAACTAGGTCCTTCACCTTGAAGATTAGATACAGGCCTACCTTATTTCCGCAGGGCCACAAATACTAATCAGACTGAGTGTTCATTCATCAGCTAAGCTGCACACAAGTGTTAATTTGCCGCAGTGTGGATTCTTCCCTAGAGTGGATGCTGCTTTGGGGAATCTTGTCAGAAGGAGAGGAGAGTGGTGCGGAACACACTACATCAGACAATGACCCTACATTCTTTTAGTCATGATTTTTACACCCGAAACAAAAAAAGCTTTGTATATACAGTCTGTGTAAAGGACCCCCAGGGTGTGGTTGTGATGGTATGAAGGATGTTGTGTATGTATTTTAATTACTCCTTGATTTAAAGCCTCCTACTTTGTTGTACTATTGACAGTTAGGGTATGCAGGACTGGCTCATACTCCTAGTTGTTACTGAAGAAAGTGGTGCTATGATTAAAATATTTTTAAAGACAATTTCAGTTTACTGAAGGAAGCTTTCCTAAAACGTACGGCTATGAAATCTAGCATAAATGGAGTAATATTTGGTCACTTTGGAGACAGATCTCTTAAGGAGATGGACCTTTGTCTTTAGAGAGGACCCCGCCTGGGTTTCAACCCAAGGCCTGCCCATGGAGCTGGGTCCTGGGGCTGGCCATTTACTGTGGGTATGGATCCTCAGGCAAAGCCCCGACAGATAGGCGGTGCCTGTAAGGCCTTGTTCGTCTTCTCGGGATGAGACACCCAGGCCCTACAGGCTCCTCCGTGGCTGTGCCAAGAGCCCCCGGCGTGGGCTCCCGTGTGCCAGCCACTGCCTCAGACTCCATTAACCCCGCGCCCTTTCCCGCAGGTGCCTGAGATCATCAGCTCCATCCGACAGGCCGGCAAGATCGCCCGCCAGGAGGAGCTGCGCTGCCCCTCGGAGTTCGACGACACCTTTGCCAAGAAGTTCGAGGTGCTCTTCTGCGGCCGTGTGACCGTGGCCCACAAGAAGGCCCCGCCAGCCCTGATCGACGAGTGCATCGAGAAGTTCAACCACGTGAGCTGCAGCCGGAGGGCAGACTGGGATGCGGCCGCCCCTTCTGGGGAGCCGGGGCCCGGGGAGCCCCGCAGGCCCATGCGCAAGTCCTTCTCGCAGCCGGGCCTGCGCTCCCTGGCCTTCCGGAAGGAGTTCCAGGACGCCAGCCGGCGGAGCAGCAGCTTCTTCAGCTCCTTCGAGGAATGCGACATCGAGAACCACCTCATTAGTGGACACAATATTGTGCAGCCAACAGATATTGAGGAAAATCGAACTATGCTCTTCACGGTAAACTATTAGCAGCTCTCGGCCCAGGCTGTCAGATGTTGTGTCCAAGAGAAAAACCCACCTTCCCGATTAGTAAACGCTTCTTTGTGAGTGATTCATATGTGAATCCAGATTTAAGGAATTATCTTTACTAGGGATGAAATTCCTACGAGGGCCACATGCTCCATTGTAGTAGGGAGGGGAAAGCCTTTGGTACCAGTATGTGCATGGAAACCCAGCACTCCACTATGCCAGGTGTCTGATGGGTATCCCATGTCAGTAGAACAGCATTGATCTGTGCTAATAGTCTAACTTCAAGTGAAGTGAGTAGTGTACTTGACTGCCTAACACATTTTGTGTACTTTACTAATGTAGATCATTTTGACAATAGTTTAAAAAGCCTAGTTTGTAAAAAAAGATTATTAGAGAGTGTTTTGGAAATTTTACATAGAAACTTCTGTTTTCCTGGAATATTTATTTGTATACAAACCTCACTTCCTAATAAAGAGTTCTGAGGCATATGACTAGCTTTCACATGTCTGGTCCGTTCAGAGAAAGTGGATGTCTTATCCAGGAAAACCCACCCTAGCTATCTTGTCACTATGCACATTAGTTATTCTATCACCTTAGAACCTTTGAGATGATTTTCTACATTTACGACTACTGATTATTGGGGCTTCCCATGTTTTTGGTGACATGAAAGAGTTGAATAATACACTTGAATTCCGTTTTCATAAAATGCTACTCTTCCCGCTCCCCCCCCCCCCCCCATTTGTTTTGTCTTTTAAGATTGGCCAGTCTGAAGTTTACCTCATCAGTCCAGACACCAAAAAAATAGCATTGGAGAAAAATTTTAAGGAGATATCCTTTTGCTCTCAGGTAAATGGAGACTGGTTATTATTGGTTCAATTGCAATCACATTTTAAAAAGAATTCTTTAAAAAATTATTTTAGTGTAAAGATGCTGCACAGAGGGGTTGCAGTTACATGAGTAAGGTAATGAGTCTATTTCTTGTCCAGCATTGTTACCCCCTCCTTTGTTGTTCTCCCACTATCCCTTCCCTCCCCAACCTCCCTCACTCCCCCGCCCCCCAAGTTGTACATTTCCAATATACAGTCCTGTGGGTATCATTGTTGCAGTGTGTCATCCTGTGTCCTTGTTTCAGTGTTTTGTTATTCCCCTTCCCCTAAAAAGAATTCTTTTAATATCTGTTTCACCACAGAAATACTAAACATGTAATAAGCTGTATGTTTTTAAGTACTTGGTTTATGATCTTGCATTTCTTTCTCCTTTTGTATGTTAAGGCAAATTGCAATTTTGAAATTAAGAATTTTGTGCTTAAGCAACAACATTGGAATTTGTTTAATTTGATGTAGAACATTAAGATAGCAGAACCTGTCAGTGGTTACTATCAGAAAATATTAGCCAGAAAGTGAAGTTATTCACAGAATTTTGTTCTTAACTTGCTTTGATTTATGTTAATGTGAAACATTTGCTCTTCTAAATTTGATAGCTTTACAGTTTCCTGAAGGGCTGCATAAACTCATAAAAATTTATGAGTTTATCTGATTTCCCAAACATTCAAGCGATTGACATTTGTCTTTCCATGAGAGTGTTTTCAGAAGGACCTTGACATATTAATATTTATGGAAGAGGTTTCATATGTATTAAGGTTGCTTCTGTTAATTGGTACTTTCAAAACAAGTTTATATATTAATTTTTTAAAGTGCCTAGGAAATGATGGCAAAGTGTTGACCTTAATATCTTGAGCTTAAAAACCTCTATATATTTATTATACCACTTTAGTATTTAACCTCTTTATCACCTTAAGAGTACAAATACATTTTAAGGTTTTTTTTTTTGTCGGTCGTGGGTCTTGAATTCTGGGGCCTGGGTGCTGTCCCTAAGCTCAAGGCTAGCACTTTACCACTTGAGCCACAGTGCCACTTCCAGTTTTCTGGTGGCTAATTGAACATAACAGTCTCATACACTTTCTTGCCAGGGCTGGCTTTGAACCGTGATCTTCAGATCTCAGCCTCCTGAGTAGCTAGATTACAGGCCTGACCTACCAGTGCCCAACATTTTTAAGGCTCTTTTAAGAGCAATAGATATGTGAGTTTTTTTTTTTTTTGGTCCGGTCGTGGGGCCTGAACTCTGGGCCTGGGCGCTGTCCCTCAGCTCTTCAGCTCAAGGCTAGTGCTCTACCACTTGAGCCACAGCGCCACTTCCGGCTTTTTTTCTTTTTGCTTATGTGGTGGTGAGGAATCGAACCCAGGGCCTCAGGCATGCAAGGCAAGCGCTCTACCACTGAGCCAACTTCCCAGCCCCGATATGTGAGTTTTTTATGTACGTGTACACACATGTATTCATGTGTATGTATAGGTATGTGTTCTTATGAACCTGTAGTCTGCCTTTGATTATTCAAGGAGGTTTTTGTTTTTGTTTTTATTTTTGTGCCAGTACTGTGACTTGAATTCAGGGCTTGGTTTCTACCCTGTACCTTTTTTGCTCAAGGCTGGTACTCTATCATTTGAGCCATAGTTCTACTTCCTGTTTTTTGTTGGTTAATTGGAGATAAGAGACATGGACTTTCTCACCTGGGCCGGCTTCAAACAATGATCCTCAGATCTCAGTTTCCCGAGTAGCTAGAATTATAGATATGAGCCACCAGTGCCTGATTAGAGTTATTTATTCTGTAATGCACAATAAAAGTTATAATTTTTCTGTCAACTTCTCTTCCTTTTAATAAAATGAGCATTAGAACTTGGATTTTAAATAACCTTAATTCTTGTTGTGAAGAAACCAAAGTTACATTTTAGTAGGATTATATTGATCTTCCATAACTGAGAGATGTTTTTATATATTTTTTGATTTTTAAAGTCCCTGAGCAAATAGTGATTTTATAGTTTATGTCATTCATGGCAAGTTAAGATTGGGGCCTCTGCCAGGTACAACTCAATCTCCTTTTCTCTTCTTCCCCTGCCCTTCACAGGGTATCAGACATGTGGACCATTTTGGGTTTATCTGCCGGGAGTCTTCTGGTGGCGGTGGCTTTCATTTCGTCTGTTACGTGTTCCAGTGTGCAAATGAAGCGCTGGTGAGAGAGCAGGAACACTGCCTACCTGCAACCTTGTTTGGGAAGAATTTCAACTTCTTTAGCAAAACTTCATAACCTTAGGCACATAGCGTTATTTGATTTTAATTATATGCTCATGACTAACTGAAGTTAGTATACATCTGAAACTTTGTAATTACATTTTTAATTTTTATTATTTATGATAAATATGTTCATTTCACCCACTAGTCTAATCTAGCCCCTAAAAATGTCATTTTGAACTTTGAGAAACATTTGTTTTTTATTCAACATTTAATTGGCTTTTATTTTGCATTTTAGCTGCGTTAACAGTAGTTGAGTATCTAGGGAGTACTAGCAATTATGAAGTGTAGTCCATAAAAATCTTAGAATATAGTCTTTTCCACAGACCCATTCTGGCTAACTTGGAGCTGACTTTTTGTTGGCTACTGTTTCTCGTCTTGATTAGGTTGACGAAATCATGATGACTCTGAAGCAGGCTTTCACAGTGGCTGCGGTGCAGCAGACAGCAAAGGCACCAGCCCAGCTGTGTGAGGGCTGCCCTCTGCAAGGCCTGCACAAGCTCTGTGAGCGGATCGAGGGTGAGTAGGGGCACTTACAGCCAAAACACAGTGGGAGTCAAGGCCCCTGAAAACCTTAGATGGCAGTATTTGTTATACGCTTCTGCCTGACAGAGACTTGTATGAGTCACAGATGATCTTTCACCCTGCATCAGAAGATGCCTTCTAGAAGTCAGTATTTTTGTGTATACTACCAATATGAACCCATATCCCCTTCCTCCCAGACCGTTTGTGGATGGTGGAGGAGTTAGCAGAATGGAGTTCACTGAATATTTGTATAATGGAGGTGCTAGTAGTGGTTACATTGGCCCTGCATGTTTAGTAAGCTAAAGCCTAAGGATTTCTACTAGGGTTCTGCCTTAGGTTACCTGTAACCACTGCTAGGATGGTTTTAATGGTAGGGAAACAGAAAGCAGTCTTCCATTGAGTGGGGAATGAAAAAGAATAAAACAAGTGGTGAGTGTGTGGATCATGACTTCTGGAAACTTGTCTTAGCTTAGAGAAACCACCACACTGTGCTAGGATTTGCAGCCAGTGGTTATTGAGTAGGACAGACAAGCTAGGTATGGGTTTTTCTTTTATTATCTAGTTAATCTTCACATTTGTGGGAGAGAAAGACCACGAGTTTTACACATTTTAAAGATAAGTGAATTGAAGATTAGAGATAGCTAGGAATGAGCATAGTGTTCATGGAGCCCATATCTAGCTCCAGGTGGTAGGACCCTGGCTGTTACCTCTAACAAAACTCATCTTTCTAAAGTCAAGCCATGCTGGGAAAGTCATGGCATACCAACTAACTTTGTATTTTTAGATCCAATGAGCAATTTGAGCAAATTCTGAACCAGGAGAACCAACTTGTCAGAATGGAGTGGAGAGGGTCCTCCTAGACAAAGTGAGGAATCTGCCTCCATCTAGCAAGAGGAGACAATGTCTGACTCTAGGTTGGCAGGGCGGGGCTGAGGTAGGGTCTTGGTGCACATCCAAGGGAATTTAAAAGGTGAAGGGATTTATATCTCTCTTGTTCTTGACTTTACTTTTTGTCCCATTTATGGCAGGATTTCCAAAACCTTTTCATTTGCTTTTGACAATGTCATGATTTAAACCAGTGGGTTGTTGTGTTTCTAGAATACTTACTATAAGCTATACTTGTATAAAGAAGTATATTGACATTTGGTCTGCCTTATCTCTTTTAGATGTAATATTGGTAGGAAGTAGATATGTAGCTCAAGTGGTATAGTGCCACTTGTGAATAACAAAAAAAGCTGAGTGAGAGCTCAAGGCCAGAGTTCAGGCCCCAGTAAATTTTTGGAACAATATTCTAACATCAAATTTGCCATTTTAACTGTGTGCAGGTCAATGGTTCTTAAGTCCATTTACATTCTTGTATAACTGTCATCTCCAGCTATCATCAGGATTATTTTCTTCTTCCCCAATTTTAACTGATTTAATGTTCTACTCTTTTTCACTTCCTCTAGCCCCTAGCAACCTGCAATCTACTTTCTGTTTCTATGAATTAGACTACCCTAAGTGTCTTATGTAAGTGAAATTATATGGGATATTTCTTGTTTTCTAGTTAATTTCACTTTGCATAATGTCTTCTAGATTTTTTAAATCATATTATGTGTCATAATCTTAATCCTTTTTAAGAGGGCAAATGATATTCCATTATATATATCCACTTATCAATGGACATTTTGGGGTTTCCACCTTTGGCTATTGTGAATAATGTAGCTATGAGTGTTGTACAAACATCTGTTGAAGTTTCTACTTTCAGTTCTTTCAGGCATATACCCAGAAGTATGCTGGATTATATGGTAATTCTGTGTTTAAATGTTTAGAAGCTGCCATGCTGTTCTATGATTATATCATTTTATAATCCCACTAGCAGTTCCAGTTTCTCCATATTCTTACCAAAACTTGTTATATGTTCTGTTCCTTGGATGATAGTTGTCTAGTTTATCTTATTTCTGAGATAAATTAACAATTGACATCTTATGGTCTGGAGAGGTTTATTTGTGCCATTCTAGTACTCTCTAAAGTGCTCATGATTAGTATTTTCAGCTGTTTTTCACATTGCTTCTGTTTGCTGACATTATACAAAATATGCCTGGGAACCAAAGAAGTTCTGCTTTAACTAGAAATTCCAGATGAGAGGGCCACTAACTCTTTTCTTAGTGGTTGTCAAGATAAGGTAAATGATGACAGAAATGTCCCTTAAGATCTTATTAAGAAGTCAGCAATGGCTTTGCCTTGGAAGATAAAGCAGATCATGATCTGCAGAACTGGAAAGCTTCCAGAATCCCATTTGGTAAATCTTTCTTTGGTCTGGCTCAGCTTTCAAAAAGTTACAGCTGTAAAAATTTAATCAGGGTAGGGATTTTGCTGCTGTAGTTTTGGAAACAGTCATTGAATTCATCTTTTACATGATAGAATCCAGCCAAGGCAGAAAGCTCTGCGAACATTAAAAAAAACAGCAATTAAATGATGTCATTAGAAGTTAGGGGAGAGTATGTTTTACCTGTAGAATGGGAAGCATTTCTCAAAGTACAGATGGCATATTATGAGAGGTGGCCCTGGTAGGGAGGAGATAATTATAATTTACTTGCAGAGTTGGAGACTAGAAATACAGAATAAACGAAGTGGTTTATTAAAATTCCTGTGGAAGTATTTCTAACAGGGGACTGTGGTCTGACCAAGAACTCTATGAAGTAGTTCATTGGAAAGGACCAATGAAACAGCCCCATGATGAAAGATTTACAGAAGGTTTTCTTATCACTTGGTGTGGCCTATGCCCCAGAATATATAAATAAAATAAGCACACATTGTACATGTTTATGCTAGACTCACCACTGTAATCGGCTCACACAACTCTGTCCAACTCTGTCTGTTGAATCTGTACAGCTGTGCTTAAATAGTATTGTGCTTAAATAGTATTTTGCTTACTCTCTAGTTAAGAGGAACATTTGGGGAAATAGTAAATTAGTTACATTTTTTTTTCAGTACTGGGGATTGAACTTGGCCTCATATTTGCTAGGCAAGCTCTCTACCAGTTGAGCCATGCCCTCAGTCCAAATTAATTATACTTTCCTTGAAGTTGAAAGTTGAACAGAGGTTTTCTTTTGTTCTCAGCAAATTTTCTTCCAGCTAAAGTCATTTATCAGAGCTCCCTCTAATAAGATCTTTTCAGCTTGGTGTTGTGGGGCAGTCTCACTAATGATCAGAGCTCCCTAGAGTCTGGTTCTCCTTTTCTACTTGGGTCCCATTTTCTTGTGTGTGTCCCATTCTTTCTCCTCACAGGAGACCATTAAGGAGATGCCTCCTTTATGGACACACTAGTGGCTCTTGGCAAGATGCTATGTGGCAGGCCCTGGACCTGGGTTAGGACCAGCTGGTTTGAGATAGGGCAGGAAGGACCTGATGAGTTGAGATACCCTAAATCAGGCAAAGACTGATTGGAAAGTCCCTTCCTACCTGAGGAGATGAAAAGACTGCCCTGTATGATTTAGCCTTTGTTCTCCTATAGGTGTAGTTATTCTAGCTTTTCTTAGATTTCCCAATTCTGAATGCTTCATCAAACGACACAGTATTTGCAAACACTGATGCTTACACTGTATCAGAAACATCCTCTAGATTTGGGGAACCATTTTTAGTTGAAGATTACAGAGTGCCTATTTATAATGTTAGTCACTTTTGCCTAACGTTTAAGTAGTTGCTGAAATAAGCTTGCCTCTACTTCCTTGGCTTTTTATAACCCAGCAGCTGGCTAGAACTAGGGTATATGAATTACACTCTGAAAAACTCAACTGTCCTTTTCACATCACCCTACTTCTGTTTGTACTGAAGACACCTGTGGGTCAGGCAACTTGGTTCTGTTAGTCAATAGAAGCAGTGGAGATCATAGTTTCTGGGCAGATGCAGTTCATGTTTCACTCTGTCCTTTATGTGGTGGTTGACCTGGCACTCACCACTTTAAATTAAGGTCTTTCTTTCTAGGCATACGCTTGGGTGAGATTTACCTGTTAGGCTTCCTTGTAGCTGAGGATCATCAGCAATTCATTGAGAAAGTATCCTGCAAACTTTTCTGCTTTGGCTGGCCTCAAATCTCAATTTCAAAACCATTTCAGCCACTCAAGTAGCTAGATTATAGGCACAGGTCAGTAGCACTCAGCTGTTTGTTTTTTGTCCCTACCCCCTTTTTGGTAGTGCAGAGCCTTCTGCATAGCAAATAAGTGCTCAACCACCTGGCCCATGCCCACAGCCCTATGTTTCTTTCTTTTGAGATACTAACTTTGTCCAAGCTGACCCTGAACTCAAAATCTTTCGCACCTCTATTTATTGAGTAGCTTGGACTACAGGTGTGTACCAGGTGCCATTCTCAGCTCACATATCTCAGGGAAGAACCCAGGTAAAAGATGACACTGTCATCATTGACTTGAAGTTCCCTAAAGCCTTGCTTGCTGAAAGCAGGTGGGTAAGCTCATTAGGGAGTAAGTATGGAGGATGTGAACTCTACCTCACCCTTCTAATAGTTGCTTTATGTCTTTCCTTTTTTTTTCTCTTTCTTACTAGGAATGAATTCCTCTAAAACCAAATTAGAACTTCAGAAGCACCTGACAACACTGACAAATCAGGAACAGGCCACTATTTTCGAGGAGGTTCAGGTATAGTACCCAAAGTTTAACTTCTAAGGAGAAAGCAAAGGCTTGAGGCAACCTACCTATGAAATATCCTGTGTTGTCACAGCCCCAAAGAGGGGCTTCCATTTTCAGAATCCCCGTGAGGGACCAGATTGGGAAGGTCAGTTCAGGTTCACCATCAGTTCTGGGCTTGATTATGGTCAATGTAAAAAAAAACCCCAAACCAGACATTTCTCTCTCTTTTTAAAAATTTATACAATAACTAAAAACTATCTGTAAATAGTTGTACAAAGGAGGTCCAATACAACATCAAGAACACCTCTCTTAAGAAATGTGTTAGAGCCGGGCGCTGGTGGCTCACGCCTGTAATCCTAGCTACTCAGGAGGCTGAGATTTGAGGATCGCGGTTCAAAGCCAGCCCGGGCAGGAGAGACCGTGAGACTCCTATCTCCAATAAACCACCAGAAAACCGGAAGTGGCGCTGTAGCTCAAGTGGTAGAGCGCTCGCCTTGAGCTGAAGAGCTGAGGGACAGCGCCCAGGCCCAGAGTTCAAGCCCCACGACCGACAAAAAAAAAAAAAAAAAAAAAAAAAAAAAAAAAAAAAAAAGAAATGTGTTAGACTAAGAAATTATAAAGTGGGAAAAATTTCAGCCTGGGAGACAGGCCTGGACTCTGTTCCACACATGCTTTTCTGTTCCTTGGGACTTCTGTCCACCCATTCCCTCTCAGGATTTCAGGCTAAAATAGGGGAAAATAAGGATTCAATCTTTGGATATGAATCTGAAAGTTACATGCCTTAGAACATGTAATAAAATCTAAAAAAAAAAAAAGAAAGAAAGAAAAAAAACCACACAAAATGAAGCAAAATCCAAAGTCATGGCTTTCCATAGTACCTGTCCTTCCTTGCATGAGCTGCTGTGGATCTGAGAACTCATGCTACTATGTTGGTGTGTTTGCTTGCTTATTATGAATCCTGCAATAGCTCATCCCCAATTTCATGTTTGCCCCAGCAGATAGGCATTTTCTATGGCTTCCTAACACTTTTATTAACCCTTTTGTAGGACCCTGGAGACAAATAATAAATGTGGTTTTATTTGGGGTGATGGTGGTGGGTTAAGGCTTGTGACAGCAGGCTGGTTATACAAGTACAGGAGTGATTAAATTAAACAGTCAACAATAAGACCATAAGGTCTATAATCTGTTTTATATTTGCATTAAAAATTTAAAGCATTATCTTTTTTTTTTTTTTTTTTTTTTTTTTTTTTTTTTTTTTTTAATTGTAAAGCTACTATACAGAGGGTTACAGTTACATGAGTGAGGTTATGAGTACACTTCCTCTTGAACATTGTTACCCCCTCCATTGTTTTCCCCCTACCATCCCCTCCCTCCCTCCCTTCCCCGAGGTTCTTTTTTTTTTTTTTTTTTTGATTGTGATTAAATGATTACATAATTTCAAAGTCACAAGTTCATTCTAACTTCCCTGGAGCAAATTGTCTACCACAGTCTGTAATATATAACAGTGTTCACATGTTATGTACCATATTTGTGATCAGCAGCATGAGGATATTTAGTAGTGGTTCAACCAGATGAGCGGGAGTTCTTTGTTTCTTAAGTCCTGTTAGTTTTGTCGTATCACCTAACCTTTTGGATTTAGCATCCACTTATGAGGGAGACCATGTACCGTTTGTCTCTTCGTTCTTGGCTTACCTCGCTCAACATGATTCCTTCTAGCTCCATCCATTTCCCTGCAAATGCCATTATTTTGTCATTTCTAATGGCTGCATAATATTCCATTGTGTATAGATACCACAATTTTTGGATCCATTCATCTGTGGTGGGGCACCTAGGTTGTTTCCATATCCTAGCTATTGCGAACAGTGCTGCAATAAACATGGAGGTGCACGTGTCCTTGTATATTGGTTCCTGTTGTTCAGGGTAGATGCCTAGAAGTGGTATGACTGGGTCGTAAGGGAGGTCAATCTTTAGCTTTCTAAGGACCCTCCAGACTGCTTTCCAAAGTGGTTGTATAAGTGTACATTCCCACCAGCAGTGTAATAGGGTTCCTCTTTCTCCACATCCCCTCCAGCATTTGTCGTTGGCTGATTTGTGGATGTGGGACATTCTGACTGGGGTAAGGTGGTATCTCAGGGTTGTCTTTATTTGCATTTCCTTCACCACCAGGGATGATGAACATTTCCTCATGTGTTTCTTTGCCATTTTTATTTCTTCATTTGAGAAGTCCCTCTTTAGTTCCCTTGCCCATTTAGTAATTGGTTTGTTAGGTTTGGGAGGGATTAGTTTCTTGAGTTCCCTGTATATACAGGATGTTAACCCCTTGTCTGATATATTGCTGGTAAATATTTTTTCCCAATTAGTTGGTTGTCTTTCTAGCTTAGTTGCGATAGATTTAGCTGTGCAGAAGCTTTTTATTTTAAGGTAGTCCCATTTGTCGAGTCTCTCTCCAACTTGTTGTGACCCTGGGACTCTGTTCAGGAAGTTCCTTCCTGTGCCTATTATTTCAAGTGTCTCTCCTACTCTGTCCTGCAGTAGTTTCAGAGATTCAGGTTTAATGTTAAGGTCTTTAATCCATTTTGAGTTGATGTTGGTGCATGGTGATAGGCTGGGGTCCACTTTTAGTTTTCTGCATGTGGCTGCCCAGTTTTCCCAGCACCAGCGGTTGAAGAGGCTGTGTTTCTTCCATTGTATGTCTTTGGCTCCTTTGTCGAATATCAGCTGGCTGTAGGCCTGTGGATTTATATCTGGATCTTCTATTCTGTTCCATTGGTCTTCGGGTCTGTTTTTGTGCCAGTACCATGCTGTCTTTGTGATTATAGCTCTGTAGTAGAGTTTGAAGTTCGGCATGGATAGCCCTCCCATATTGTCTTTATCCCCTAGAATTGTTTTGGCTATTCTAGGTCTTTTGTTGTTCCATATAAATTTTTGGACTGTTTTCTGTATTTCAGTGATGTACGTCATTGGGATTTTAATAGGAATTGCATTGAATTTGTATATTAGTTTTGGAAGTATCACCATCTTTACTATATTAAGTCGGCCTATCCAGGAGCATGGGAGGTCTTTCCATTTCCTAGTGTCTTCTGCAATTTCTTTCTTTAACTTTTTATAGTTCTCGTTAAATAGTTCTTTTACATCTTTGGTTAGGTTAATTCCTAAATATTTTATTTTTTGGGAGGTTATTGTGAATGGGGTTGCTCCCTTTATTTCCCTCTCTTCCTGTGCGTTATCAGTGTATAGGAAGGCAACTGATTTTTGTGGGTTTATTTTGTATCCTGCTATTTTGCCGAAGTGACTTATGATTTCTAAAAGTTTGGGGATGGAGTTTTTGGGATCGTGGAGGTATAGTATCATGTCGTCTGCAAAAAGGGATAGTTTCACTTCTTCTTTCCCTATGCGGATCCCTTTAATGTCTTTTTCTTGCCTTATTGCCCTGGCTAAGGGTTCTAGGACTATGTTGAAGAGGAGTGGAGACAGTGGACATCCTTGCCTTGTTCCTGTTTTTAGGAGGATTGGTTGTAGCTTTTCCCCATTAAGTATAATATTGGCTATTGGTCTGTCATAAATGGCTTTTATTGTTTTTAGAAATGTTCCTTCTATTCCTATTTTCTCCAGAGCTTTTAGCATGAATGAATGTTGAATTTTATCAAAGGCCTTTTCTGCATCTGTGGCGATAATCATGTGATTCTTGACCTTGGCTCTGTTGATATGCTGGATTACATTTATTGACTTACGTATGTTAAACCATCCCTGTGTCTCTGGGATGAAGCCTACCTGATCATAGTGTATTATTTTTTTTATGTGTTTCTGGATTCTGTTAGCTAGAATCTTGTTAAGGATCTTTGCATCTGTGTTCATCAAGGAGATTGGCCTGTAATTCTCCTTTTTGGTTGGGTCTTTGCCTGGTTTGGGGATGAGTGTGATATTGGCTTCGTAGAATGAGTTTGGGATAGCTCCCTCCTTCTCTGTTTCTCTGAAGAGCTTGAGGAGTATGGGTATTAGTTCTTCTTTAAAGGTCTTATAGAATTCTGCTGTGAATCCATCTGGTCCTGGGCTTTTTTTTGTTGGAAGACTTTTGATAGCTTCCTGTATCTCATTATAGGATATTGGCTTATTTAATTGGTTAACTTCTTCTTTGCTCAGTTTGGGTAACTTGTATTTCTCTAAAAATGCATCCATTTCCGCCAGATTTTCTTCCTTTAGAGAGTATAGCTTTTGAAAGTAGTCTGTTAGAATTGTTTGGATATCTTGGGTGCGTGTTGTGATGTTTCCCGTGGCATCCCTAATCCTATTAATATGGGTTTCCTCTCTTCTTTTTTTAATTAATCTTGCCAACGGGCCATCAATTTTGTTTATTTTTTCAAAGAACCAGCTTTTTGTTTGGTTTATTTTGGTTATGGTTTTCTGATTTTCTAATTGGTTAATCTCTGCTCTCAATTTGGTTATCTGGCTTCGTCTAGTAGCTTTGGGTCCCATTTTTTCTTGTTTTTCTAGCTGTTTTAGTTGCAACATGAGATTATTTACTTGGTCTGTCTCCATTCTCTTGATGTGGGTACTGAGGGCAATAAATTTGCCCCTCAGGACTGCTTTTGCTGTGTCCCACAAGTTTCTTTGTGAGGTGTTTTCATTTTCATTGAGTTCTAGGAAATGCTTTATTTCTTCTCTGATCTCTTCTGTTACCCAGGCCTTGTTAAGGAGTGTGCTGTTCAATTTCCATGTATTAGAGAAATTTCTGCGGTATGCTTTGTTATTGAGAGCTAGCTTGATTCCACTGTGGTCAGATAGGATACAGGGGATTATGTCGATCCCTTTGTATTTGCTTAAGTTCCTTGAATGAACTATGATATGGTCTATTTTGGAGAAAGTTCCATGAGCTGCTGAGAAGAATGTGTACTGTGTTGTTTTAGGGTGAAATACTCGGTAGATGTCAGTTAATTCCGCTTGAAGTATGGCCTCACTTAATTCGGTAGCTTCTTTACCAATCCTCTGGTTGGTAGACCTGTCCTTTGGTG